TGTTAGTCGGACCGTGCAGCACTGGGGGGCCGCGGTGACGTCAACGAGGAAGGGGAGTGACGGGAGGGTCAACTGGGAGCGACGAGCATAGCCGGGTAGGGGGCAACGAGCATCGGCCAGGGAGGATGAACCCGGACGGGGGGGCGGTACCGGGTGCATGAGACGAGGAGGGGACGGCAGGAGCCGGCAGGCGCAGGGGCACAGCGGGGCGGAGCAGGCGCAGGGGCACAGCGGGGCGGAGCACCGTGAGGGAGACGGGCGCTACGTGGACAGCAGCAGCAGCGAGCGGGCGGAGAAGAACGGGTTGCAGCGGGGAATGCACCTGGACGCTATCTGCGTCCGGATCCGTCCGCAGGCTGAGGCGGGGGAGGAACGGGTTGTGGCGGAGCGAAAAAGGGATAGTTCGCCCGTTCCTTAATGGAATCGGGTGAACCAAGTGTCGAAATAGGGGGGTCTTAGGAGGGCGAAGTTAGTGGTAGTGTCAGTTTTAGTTCTAGATTAGTAGAAAAGACGTAGTACGAAAAACGGGTTGCGCAGAGGTGTCGGGGGCGGATATGGAGGAGGTGGGAACGGAGTTCCCGCTCGCTTCTCAGCGAAAACGAGCAAAGGAGAAAGATAGGTAGGGGTTTTGGCATGATGCGAGCCCAGTGGTGAAGTTAGATGGAGCGTTAGGTTAGTAGATTCAGAGGTTAGTAGAGAAGAGAGCGCGCGGAGCTATGGAGGAGACAGGGAGAAGAAGAAGAGGAGTGATATCCTGCTCGATTCTTGGCAGAATTGGGCGGGGTAAAGTGCTAATATGAGGTTTAGGGGTAGGGCGAGTCGGATCATGCGGATAATTTGCGCGTTAGTGTGCCTGCGCGGAGGGTGTCGAGGAAGGGGGGGGGGAATGGATGAATGAACCCAGCGCGGATTCGCGCCAGGTGCGCCCAGGAATCGGGATGGTGGAAAAATGTTCGACTTCGGCCGTTAGCTAGTGAATACGGGCAGGAGGGGAAACAGACAGGGGTTTTTTGGCATGGCGAGTCCGAATCTGTCATCGGATAAGGGTGAAAGTTAGTAGAAGAGATGATTAGTAAAAGAAGAAAGAGAACGGATACCTACCTTAGAGCGGTGAAGCGAAAGTCGAGCCACGGCAAGCTGCGCGCGACAAGAACGGTTTCGAAGGTATGCACCTTTCCTCATTCTAGCGGAAGATCCATTCCCATTTACAATTGTAGTAAGTTGAAGCGTAGGCCTTATTCTCGTCGGCCTGGCGCGTGTTGGGATCGCTGCAACCTTCCTCTTTGTCCTAGAGCTCGGTCACCGTTCTGGCTAGATAGCCCTCCCGGTGAATAGAACATGGTCGTGCTTACGGCCAAGTGCAATCACACAGCCAGTGGGCCATGAGCCGCGTGAGTGGAAGCCAGCGGGAAAACAATGAGTGGGGAGAGATAAAAACGACAGGGAAGAAGATAGGTACCTACCTTGGAGGAGTTGCGATACATGCAGAGCCGAGGAGCTGGATGGAGGTGAGGGGTTGTGTGCTGCAGTACGGGCCTGCCGCGAAGTGCAGCATGGAGCCAGTGTGCTAGATTCCATCACGGGTCAGACCTGGTGCTGCCAGCCCGAGGGAGGCGAACTTGGAGAGGCAGTTGAGCTGTAGAAGGGATAAGCTGTCGTGAACTGGAAGGTCGTCAGGGGGAGTAAGCTGTCAGCAGTTGACGATTTGACTCCATCTTGACCATCTTCGCTGCGACTTGGCCATCATTGCGGGGCCCTCAGGCGCGTCAAGGATTCAAGGCCCTCTTACGCGAGTCTGAGTGCACCCTTCTTAGATCTGAGCGTCTGAACTTCTCTCTTTCTGCCCTTCTCATTCTAAGTCTAGTCCATTGGCTCTGAGAGGAAGGCGGTGGGCGGGATCGCAACCCGTAATCCGCGCCAAGGCCTCTGTGGGAGGTTCACCCCACCGATTGAGGGAGCTCTGCCGGAACTCAAGAGGGGTTCTGGAGGGAGGGAACTGAGAGGTAACCATTGTTCCCCTTCTATATGCCCTACTATAGCCCCTTATCTGTACGTCTTGCTATGTTTGACTGAGTATATTGTATGCACCCCTACTTTGACTTTGGTTCGATTGGCACCATATAACTCAGATTAAGTAAAAGGAATGTGTGTGCAATCGCAGTGTCAGTTGTTGATTGCCTGAACGAAGATTATGAACACAAAGGGGTGCATCTGGGGGAAGGGTGGGTGAAAGGTGGTTTTGCCTGAGGCTGACCGGGTCCTATGGGGTCAGACCAGTTCCATAAGATTGGACGGCCTGACCGCTGTGTTTATTTTTGAATTGCAAGGAGAGTCAGACCAGTTCCATAAGATTGGACGGTCTGATTGCTCTAAATTGTGAGGGTTTGAATGTGGTTGACTTTTCAAGGGTCTAACCTGTACCATAAGATTGGAGGTTTTTGGTTGCCATGTTTGATCCGGGTTTTGGTTTGTTTCTTTTGTTGTTGGTTGAGGAGGTCTGAGCAAGTCCTTAAGATTGGACGACTCAGACCCTTCCTGTTTCATTCTGAGGGAGTAATTCTTGCTGAGGGCAGGGCATGTCCATAAGATTGGACGGCCTTGGGCTAATGCCGCACACAGTGGGAGCAGAGAGAAACAAATATGGCAGAGGACCAGATATGTTCCATAAGATTGGACGGTCTGGCCCAAAGCCTCGCACATGTTTGAACCAAAAAGGTTAAATTTTGGTTATATTTTATACTATCCTATTTATGAACAGGCTAGTCAGGCATGGGTTCCATAAGATTGGACGACCTGGCTATAGCTTATCATGAAATGAAGAGAGTATAACTAAGAGTATAATTGAAGCTAACCCTGGGCAGGCTGAGCCTTAATCTAAGATGAACGACTCAGTCCTAGGCCCAACTTTTGAACACCAAGCTCAGAGAGGTATATATAATTTGGATATTAGACAGTTCAGGGCGGCTGAGCCTTGTTCTAAGATGAACGGCTTAGTCATATGCCCCAAAAGGAAGAGAGAAGTAATTGTGCAACCTGTTCGTGTATACTCAATGCCTGAGTCAGGCAGGATCCATAAGATTGGACGTCCTCAACAGAAAAATTGTGGGTTTTTTTTGGGGAGGTTTATTATATGCGGGCACCCTTTTTAAACTGTTGGTTTCGTGTTAATAAATATTTTGTCGGAGGTAGTGTCATGTGTTCCACCAAAAGTGAAGGAACTTAACGTTGATAACATATGTCAKAAACATGTGACACTGTGTTAAACACTTTTTCAATTGATGAAAAGTTGTTGATAAGCTGTTTATAAGTTGTTGTAATGTTGTTTACAAGTTGTTTAAATGTATTGAAATGTTGTTGGAATGTTGTTTACAAGTTGTTTAAATGTATTGAAATGTTGTTGAAATGTTGTTTAAATGTGATGAAATGTTGTTGAAATGTTGTTTAAATGATATGAGAGAGAGAGAGAGAGAGAGAGAGAGTCATTCTCCCTCCCGTACAGATGATGGCAGAAAACTTGCCCTGTTGCTATTTATATTATTCGGGGGTCTATGTAGCTTCTGTGAACTTTGAATGCAGCTGCAAAGGCAAATGTCCACAGGGGTGTCAAAACGATATGGAAACGCAGGTTGGCTACCGCGTGCCAATTTCCAGCATCACTCACATGCACGACAAGAACATGGCACGCAGTAGTCAACCACTCATGTACTTCTCGCCCAGTATTAAGATGAACATGTTTTCTAGTGTCTTCTTAATACTGCTTCAAGACATCATATTGAACATTTTTGGGAGTCTGTAATGCGTTTTCTGTAAACAAACCAAATGATTCGTGTTTTTGCATAATGAAACGCTGACATATTTTGGGCCACATTACACATGACGCAGTGCGTATCCTTGCAAGACAAACAACCATGTAAACAATAAATTGATGGTGAGTAATGTGAGATGCGAGACGCAAATGCCACGTGATGGTTGAAACACATCCACGACATGACTTGTACAAAAACCATTCATTAAATAAAACATGTTTGCTTATTGTACACTCAGCCCTAAAGGTTCTTCAGAGTCTTTTGTTTTCGGATAACAACTCTCTCTCTCTCTCTCTCTCTCTCTCTCTCTCTCTCTCTCTCTCTCTCTCTCTCTCTCTCTC